CGGGGGTGGGGGGGCGCGACGGGATCGCGACGGCGAATGGGTCGACCGGGGCGCTGGGCGGGCGGGACGGCGGGACGGGCGACGACGGGACGACGCCCCGTCGGAGACCCGCGAGAGGCCGGTCGTGGGAGAGATCCCGCGCGGGATGTCGCGGTTTTATGCGACGTGTCACCCGGGATTGGAGGAGGTGGTCGCGCGCGAGCTCGCGTCGCCGATGATTGACGCGCGGGAGGTGCGCGTTGGGAAATCCGGCGTGAGCTTTGTCGGGACGCAGCGCGTGGGGTACGACGCGAATCTGTGGTTGCGAAGCGCCGTGCGCGTGCTCGTGGAACTGAAACGAGGATATCTCGATCCGGGGGTGAGCGGCACGGAGAGCGTGTACGAGTTCATCAAGCGGGCGGCGCCGTGGGAAGAGGTCGTTCCAGGGGTTTCCCGAGCGGGCGAGGCGTTGACTTTCGCGGTGGAGACGCGCGTGTGGGATTGCTCTCAAATCACGAGCTCGCACGCGGCGAAGATTCGCGTCAAGGATGCCGTGTGCGATGCTCTCGTTGACGCCACGGGAACGCGTCCGCAACCACCGATAAACTACGCCGCCGCGGATGTGCCTCTGTACGTCACGCTCTATCGGGACGAGGTCATCGTGTATCGAGACATGAGCGGGGAGTCGCTTCACCGCCGAGGATACCGAAACGCCATGCACAGAGCGTCCCTGAGTGAATCCGCGGCGGCTGGGATGCTCAGTCTCGCGGGTTGGCCCGATATGCTCGAACAGTGGCGACGCGATCCCGACGGAACGCCCGCGCCCGTGCTCATCGACCCGATGTGCGGCAGCGGAACGTTTCTCATCGAAGCCGCGCTCATGGCGGCGAACGTCGCGCCCGGCTTGGTCCGGGCCGAAACCATCGGCTACGCGTTTGAACGGTGGCCCGATCACGATCAACGCATGTTCGATGCGTGTCTGGAGGACGCGCGAAGAATCGGGTCGGAGACGCGCGCGGCGTGCGCGTCGCCGCCAGTCATCATCGGGAACGACATCCATCCGGGCGCCGTGACGCTGGCGGGGCAGGGCGCGGAGACGGCCAGAGTCTCTGGCATGGTGGAAATTTTCAGAAATAACTGCGAAACTTTCAGGTTACCGTCGAAGATTGACCCCGAGGCGCGGCGAGTCATCGTCACGAATCCTCCTTGGGGGAAGCGCATCGGCGCGGGCGGAGACGCCGAGGGCGACGATGGGTACGCGGGAGATGGCGAATTCGACCGCGATACCACAGTGAACTCGAATGGAGTGAGCGCGGAGGAGGCGCTCGAGCAGTGCTGGAACTCGCTCGGGGTTTTCCTCAAGCGAGAGTGTCCCGATACCTCTGCGTTTGTCTTGAGCGGGAACCCGGCGGTATCGAGAGCGATTCGGATGCGAGCGTCGCGAAAGCACGTCGTCGGCATCGGCGGCGTCGATTGCCGTCTTCTTCGCTACGATATTTTACCACCGAAACCGCCGGGGTACGTTCCGACGCACCGAGAGAATCGTCGAGACGAGCGCAACTGGTAACGTCGCGAAGGAGTTTACCTCGATGCGTTCACTTTGTTGTTGTATTGACACCACACGCGCTTTAGAATCGAATCGTTATCCTCACCGCGTCGCGTCGCTAAATCGCGCTCGCTGCCTCCTCGAAACTACGTTACGTTTCTCCCGCGTCGTCTACGGATCACTTTAAGAAGGTGCACGTGACCCACATCGAGACGAATGAGAACAACGCGAGAATCAACTCCGGAGCCATGCCTTGCGGGAAAAGCGGGATGTACACCGGCACGATGGACCCAACAAGCCACGAGATGACGAGAGCGATGAGCGAATCCCTGAACGACTTCCCGAGCGTTCCTTGCCCCCCTCTCTTTTCGTTTAAGAAGTACACGCACGCGCCAAACGCGCACGCCATCTGAAACGCCGGCCCACTCGTCGCCGGCTGCGCGATCGCCCAGCCGCTAATGATGACGTACAGCATCGTTCGTCGAATCAACGTCTGCTGATCCGGCTTGGCGAACATCGCCTTGACTCTCTGCACCAGCGGCGCGTCGTAATCCACCCCGTCCTCCGCCTTTGCCTTTTTCGCCCGTCGTCTCAATCCCTTCTGCATCTTCCTCGTCGTCAACCGTTCGCTGATCACCTTATCATACGCCGCCTCGATCGATTCCACCCCTCGTTCATCTCCCGCGTGCTCTCGAATCAAGTAATTAAACGCGCTCGCGATCTCCTCGCTCGTCGCGTCCGCGTCGATCCCTAACCTCTTGTACGGATCCTTCTCCTTCGCTCGCGTGAACATTCGCGCCGGTCGTCGCGCCGCGTCGCCCGCATCGACCGTCGCGACGCCATCGTCCGCGTCGTCCGCTCGCCCCTCACTCGCGTCGCTCGCGTCGGCGCGTCGAACGACGTGGACGCGCGTCGTCGGGGTCATTCGCATCCATCCCGCGCGCGCGCCGTCGTGGACGCGCGCGCGGACGCGCGTGGGCGCTCGGACGCCCGCGCGCGCGCGCATGCCCGCTCGGTGCGACCGGGAGTGCGGACGCGCGCGCGCGCGCGCGGGCGCGGGCGCGGGCGCGGGCGGCGGCGGATGTCGATAAGGTGGGGGTTTTGATGAGTCGTGACTCGTCGAGGGGACGGTGGGGCGCGCGGCGACGGCGACGGGCGCGGACGAGACGACGCGAGAGACGTTCTCGGGGTGTCGAGGATGGAAATGCGCGAAGTGATGATGATTACACGATGAATGTGAAATGTTTTATTCGCCTTCGGCCTCGTCGAGGTCTGGAAGGGGCTCGATGAATCGAATCGTCTTGAATAATCGTGGTGTACAGCGCCGAGGCGTCGCTCCGAGGGCGCGCGAATCACCGCTCACGCGGTGATGGCAGCCTTGGGAAGGACGCGCTTACCGATCGCCGTGGCGTACGGCGTCGCGATGTCCACCGCCTTGACCGCGTACGGGGTCGCGATGTCCACCGCGCGCTTGACGACGGGTTGCGCCAGGACGGCTTCCGCCACCGGCGTCGCCCGCTTGACCACGGCCACGACGGTGGGGTTGGAGATGATTTGCTCCCACAGAAGCTTCACGCGAGCGAAGAGCTTATCAGAATCCAGCGCCTCGCGAGCTTGAGTGATCGCGGACTTGAGCGTCGTCATCGCCTCCTCGGGCACCTTGACCGCGCGCCGCCTGAGGTCGTCCGCCGCGCGCTCAATCTTCGACAAGTACTCAGCCCGAGCCGCCTTGAGGTTTTCAATGTTTTCCGGGTACTTTTCCTTCGCCTTGATCGCGTACGCGCACGCCGCGTTCACCGCGTGCATCGGCGCCGAGTTTTTCACCCGCGCGTCGTACGTCGCCTCGATCATCGCCACCGCCTTGTCCACCCCCGCGTCCGCCGTCGCGAGCGCGTTCGGGTACGCCGAGACCACTTTCTGCGCCATCGGCGTCCCGTAATGCGCGATCATCGTTTCGATCTTCGTCAACGACGACTTGAGCGCCGTCGCGTCTCTCGCCCGCGCGTACGTCTCGCTCGCCGCCCGCGTCGCCGCGTGCGTCGTCACGTACTTCAACGATCGCTCCGTCGCCTCTCGCACGAACTCCAACCGTCGCAGCGGCGGCTGCGTCGCCGTCGCCCCCGTCGCCGTCGCCGAAGCGTCCACGACCGAGCGTCTCGGCGCGGGCACCGGCTTCGTCGCCCGCGTCGTCGTCGTCGTCGTCGTCATCCCATCCATCGTCTCCGGTTCCACCGCGTCGTAGAACCGCTCCGTCGCGTCGTCGCGCGCGCGCGGGGTAATCGCGCGCGTTTTTCCCGTCCTCAAAGCCGTCGACGAGCGCGCGCGCGTCGAGCGATGGCGTCGCGCGCGCGGTCGTCGCGCGCGATGCCAGAGCTGGCACCGCGCCCTCGGCACCGATGGCGTGGTGTACATATAGTACATCACAGACGTCCATGAACGACCATTCGGGGGGCGTGTCCGTATTCAACGCACATCGACGCCAGTGAAGGACCGTTACATCATGTAACTTACATGATGTCACTTACATCGCCGAGGTCGGGTACACGGACGATCACGATCTGAAGCACGACAGCGAAACATCGTGATGGGCGTCGGGATCGCGACCGATGGATCGCGCGTGCACCTCGGCGGACGTTGTCCGCGTGTCCGAATGTACATAAAAAAATTACATGATGCATTAAATGAAGGTATACTATGTGACACATCGCCTGCACCACTGTTCGAGCGCGCACCACCCGTCACGACGCGACGCGCTCGGGGTCGACCGGTGACGCACTGTACGTCTAGCATCGCCGTCTGTCCTCGACATCGGTGCCGACATGTCGTATGATCAGTCACGTGATGCCTATCGGTGATGTATACCTGTCACTATCAGCACATGATGCGCTGTACATATCCGCACTCTTGAATCACGATCTCCATCACGACATCGTGATCGCACCACGAAAACGACGAGTCACGAATCGTCGTGCGTCAACCGCGCGAGCGCTCGGGAGATATTTTCCACGTCACCCGTCGCTTTTCCCGCGCTTTATATACCCCCCCGCGCGTCGTCGTCGCCGTCGTAGAGAAGCCATCGGGAACGCGATTGTGAGACCCCGCGTCGAGCGCGTCGACGCGACGGCCGCACAGCGCGGTCGCGGCGACGTCCTCGACGACGGGGCGGGCGCGATCGCCTCGCGCGCGCGGGTGCGCGGTGTGAGATATATTCACGCATGCCTCGGCGCGCTCGTCGGGACGTCCGCGCGGTCGACGCGTGAGCGCTTGGCGCGGAACGGGAATTGACGCGCGTCCATCGCGACGGGCGCGCGCGATGGCGGACGCGACGGCGACGGACGGACGCGACGCCGGGACGAAGACGTGGGCGCGCGCGATGGGCGGGGGTGATTGCGTGCGCCACGGTGCGGTGCGGGGGGGGGTGGAGGTGCGTCGAACGCGCGACGGGACGCGAATGGGTTTGAATCGAATCGACTGGGGGTTGAACTCTGAATTCGTGCGCCGCGCACGCGACGGTCGGGGGGCGGGAAGGAGAAAGTGGGGCCCGGAGACGGTCGAGACTGACGCCGCGATGTCGCGTCGATCGCGCAGGACGTCGATGGGGTCGGTGAGGCGTCGTTCGCGCGCGCGCGGTTGGAGCCGACGCGCGCGCTCACGACTGGTTTGGTCGCGACGTACACGGCGATCAACGACAAGTACTACGCGGTGTTGGGAACGAGGAAGAAACTGAGCGAACGCACGCCCCCGTCGAGCCCGCCGAGATCGAGGGATAGGCGGACGAGCGAGACGTCGGCGACGGAGGCGTGGTCGTCGCCGTCGAGACGACGAGAGCTCGTCAATCCCAGAGAGGTGGCGCACGAGAGGTACCTGCTCGATAAAGTTCTCGGTAGTGGTTCGTTCGGAAAGGTTGTGCTCGCGTACGATTTAGCCGACGATAAGCACGTGGCGATCAAGGTGATCGAGCGCACGCGTCGGACGGAGACGACGGTGCGCCAAGAGATTGATTTTTTACGAGAGATCAACGACGGACCGAACGGCGGAGACGAGGAGAGTTCGTCGGAATCAAACGTCGATCATCACTCGCGACGGGTGCGAGGGAAAGAAACGTGCGTACGTCTCTTGGACGTCTTCACGCATCTCCCGGAGAAGGAAAACGGCGGGTTCCAGTGCTTGGTGTTTGAGATCATGTCGCACTCGCTGTACGACTTACTTCGCGTCACCAATCTGAGAGGGGTCTCCATAAAGCTCGTGAGGAAGCTGAGCGTTCAAGTACTATACGCTCTGGAGTACATCGGATCGTTCGGCATCATTCACTGCGACATCAAGCCGGAGAATGTGTTGTTGTGTCACCCGGAGAGGAGCGCGGTGAAACTCATCGATTTCGGTAGCGCGTGCAAGTGCGGGAAAAAACAGTTTTCGTACGTTCAATCTAGATTTTACAGAGCTCCGGAGGTGATATTAGGAATGGAATATGGGAGAGGGATCGACATGTGGAGCGCTGGATGCATGTTCTACGAGCTTCGCGCGGGCACGCCACTCTTCATGGGTTGGAGCGAGCACGACCAGTTGTGCAAGATGGAGGCTACGCTCGGGAAGTTTCCGAGCTCGATGTACAAAAAGATTCCTATGGAGTACCGCAAGCGGTACTTTGACGAACGCGGGATGACGAAGCCGTCGCCAGAGGTTTTGCGCGCGGCGAGGAAGAGTAACACGCAAGTTCCCGAGCCCGGGTCGCGTCCTCTCGCGAAAGTCTTACACAAAGATTTGACCAAGCACGCGTCGGACACGGACGTGAGACCTCGCCAGGATCACGGTGAGGGCGGGTTGATGCACTCCGCGGAACACGAGCGGAAGATGCGCGAGGCGGCGAGCGTCGTGGACGACAGCACGGCTGCCGAGAATGAAATTTTGCTCTCCCTCATCTCGCGAATGGTCGCCTTGGATCCGGCGCGGCGAATAACCCCAGAGCAAGCGTTGGCGCATCCGTTCTTTTACCCAGTAGCCGGTAAGATGGGAATAGAGGGATCGATCAACGTCAACGCGCTCCAGAAACGTCTGTCTAGCATCCCAGACATGAGCGGCGTCGACGCGCTCAATCTCCGCGAGTCAAACGTGAGCGCCGGCATCGGTCGGCGCTTCACGTTCGACTCCCAGACGGGTTGAGCGCGACGGTATATTTAATTCTAGTCATCACGTCACATCTCGTCCCACGCCCCGGCGCGTCCACCGCGCGCGTCCCGGACCGCGACGAAGCGCCTCGCGTCGCGAATACCACCCACCCCCATCCCGAGCCGCGTCGCGCGCGCCCTCGACCGCCGCACCGCCTCGCACGCGCGCGCGCGCGATGGGTCTCACCCGCGTCGTCGCGCCCGTCGTCGCGCGTCCACGCGCGCGCGCGTCCACGCCCAGGCGCGACGTCACCGTCCCACGACGGGCGTCGTCCCACGACGCGCCCGTCGTCGTCGTCCGCGCGCCGCGCCTCGACCGCGCGCGCGCGCTCGCGCTGGGCGTCGTCGCCGCCGTCGCCTCCGTCGTCGTCGTCGCCGACGCGGGCGCGGTGGACGTTGGATTCTGCGTCGCGACGTGCGCGCGCGAGTGCGCGCGCATCGCCCCGGGGAGCGACGCCTACTGCTCGGAGACGTGCGCGGACGAGTGCGCGGCGATGGTGCGCGATGGCGTGGACGTGAGCGAAAATGGATCATCGAGCGTGTTCACGACGACGCGGGAGACGAGTGGGATGGAGCGCGCGTTGGTCGGGATCATCGATAAGAGCGCGGTGTTCTTCGCCCCGGGCGCGGAGCTCGCGAAAGATCCCGCGTGCGCGGAGTGATCGCGAGGACGAATGCGTCGATGGATCGTGGTGTGTGGTATTACGCCCGTTCGCGCGCGCGCGCGACGTCGCGCCCGTTCGCGCGCTGTCTCTCTCGCTCTCGCGCTCGGTTTGACGAAAACCCGACCGCCCGGACGCGCGCGCGCTTCCCTAGAACCCGCGTTCCTTCTGTCGCACGATCCAACCGAGCTTAGAGTTCAATTTCTGTCGCATCGTCCGTCGCTCGCGCTCCTTCCTCGCCAGTACGCGCAACTGCGACGGTTTTCGATGTCCCTCCGTCGACGCCCGGAGATCCTCGTACGCCCCCTCCGACATCATGATCCTTCGCAATCGCTTATACGCCCGCTCCGCGTCGCCGCGCTCGACCGAAACGGTGATCACACCCCGCGCGCGCGCGCGCGCGGGCTCACCCGACGTCGACGTCGCCGTCGACGTCCGCGCGTCCGCGTCGCGTCGCGCGCTCGAAATCGGCGCGATCGACCTCGACGCGCGCGCCGTCGCCGCGGACGCGCGCGCGAGCGCCACCACGGCGCGATCGAGAATCATTCGCACAATGTCGACCCCGCGCCCCGCGCGCTCGACCGCGCGCGCGGCGGAGTGCCGATCGATCGTCCTCGACGGCTCGCCGACGTCCCGTCCGCGGACACCGCGTCGTCACCGAGCGTCCCACCTCCACCGCCCACGTCCCCTCGATCGACGCGCGCGATCACTTCAACTTCACCCAGACGTTACCATCGGGAAACCTGACGCCACCGAGCGGGAGTCGCGCGCCGCGCGCGTCGACGTCCGTCCGCGCGCCGACGACGTTCGCCGGCCCCCCCTTCGGCGAAAAGTCCACGAACACGCTCTCACCGTCGCTCGCGATCGTCCCGCGCACGCGCCACGCCCGTCGCACCGCGGCGTCGTCGTCGCCGCACCCCGGATCGCCGTCCTCGCCCGCGACGACGCCGTTTGGAAAAATCTCCCGCGCGCACCCCGGATGTTTCGGGTCCGCGTACGTCCCCGCGATCGACGCCTCCGCGGGCGCGGCGAGGGCGAGGGTGAGAACGAGACCGTGCGCGACGCCGCGACCGATCGCGGCGCCGATCGCGGCGTCGACGCGCGCGCGGTCATCGGATGTCTCATCGACGCGCATCGGCATCGACGACGCATTCACATTCATCATCGCTCGACCTCTCGTCCACGCCCGCGCGCGCGTCGATCGACACCGCACACGCGGCGTCGACGCGCTCGCCCCCGTCGCGCGCGCGATGGCCATCACGTCGCGCGTCGACGCGCGTCGGGAACGGAACGAGAATCGATCCCGCAGAGCAATGGCGTCACACTTGAGCGACCGCGATGACGATCGCGTCCACGCCCGAGCTCCCGAACCCGTCCCTCGACGCGTCGTCGAGCCGTCGCGGGACGATGTCGAGGAAGTGGGATCGATACGCGTCGCGCGGGAGCGGTGCGGCGCCGACGCCGCTGTGGGTGGCGGACATGGATTTCGCCGCCCCGCGCGCGGTCGTGGACGCGGTGACGACGGTGGCGCGCCGTGGGGTGTACGGCTACGCCGATCCATCGCCCGCGATGGAGGCGGCGGCGCGAGAGGTGTTGGTGGCGCGACACGGGTTCGGGGCGAGCGACGCGACGTCCACGCGATGGTTGCCGGGATTGAATCCGGGATTGAATCACGCCGCGCGGGCGGCGACGCGAAAGTACGGAACGGCGGTCACCGTGGCGTCGTGCACGCCGATTTATCCCCCGTTTTTGTACGCGTCGAGGAATAATGCGATGAATCGGATTGAGGTGCCGCTCGCGCGGCGGCGAGAGGGAGGGGTGGAGCGATACGACGTCGATTGGGAGGCGTTGGACGAGACGCTCGCGCGAGACGAGGTGAAGATACTGTTGTGGTGTAATCCACATAATCCGGTGGGCCGGGTGTGGACGAGGGCGGAGATGACGCGCGTGGCGTCGATGTGCGTCGCGCGGGACGTCATTCTGTGCTCGGATGAGGTGTGGAGAGATTTAATCTTGGACGAAGCCGCGACGCCGTTCTGCGGCGCCGGGTCGTTGTGCGACGACGTCGAGGGGCTTCGAGAGCGATTGATCGTGCTCACGTCGCCGTCAAAGACGTACAACGTCGCCGGATGCGACGTCGCCCTGGCGTGCGTCCCGGATAAGGCGCTGCGCCTGCATTTCGCTCGGGCGGGTTCGGACAAGGCGGAGATCACGCCTTTCGGCTACGCCGCGTGCCTCGCCGCGTACACCGATCCGTCGTGCGAGGAGTGGCGTCAGCGTTTATTGACGTACCTGCGGGCGAATCGCGACCACATCGCGGAGACGCTCGCGGCGAACGCGACGGCGCGCGAGCTCCTGACGTGGACCGTCCCGGACGCGTCGTATCTCACCTGGGTCAACTGCGAGCGCTTGGTCGACCGCATCGGGCGCTCTCCGTTCGATCATTTCATCGATCACGGCGTCGTGCTCTCGGACGGCGCCCCGTTCAGCGCGCCGCGGTCGTGTAGAATAAACTTTGGCACTCGAAGAGACATTCTCGATCGAGGCCTTCGCGGGATCGAGCTCGGGCTCGAAAACGCGTGATTCGTAAAAAGTGACGCCCACCAAGAGTGCGCCGCGCGTTCAAACTACCAGTCAAATTGTTCATTGTACACTCTACGCTAGCCTTCTCCCACTACGTGTTCGACTGACGCACGCGATTCGGTTGCGGCTGCGCCTTGATCCTCCCCTTGTTGCTCCGCTTGGCGGCGTCGTAACGCAACCGTTCCAGTTTTTGTCTCGGCGTCTCCTCGGTCGTCCGCGTGATCGGCGACGCCTTTGGATTATCCTTGGTATAAATAACCTGTCGCACCTCCTCCTTCCCCGCGGCGTTGATCACGCGCTCCCGTTCGTACGTCAACGGTTTCCGCGCCACGGCTCGATTTCTCCCGCTCGCGTACGGTCTCGGCAACCCACTCCTCGTGAGCCACTTATACCGCCGTCCAAGCGTCTGCATCCGTCGACGCGCAAACGCCGTCTGCCTCGCCACGTGTATCGCCAAAAACACCCCCCCAGCCGCGAGCACCAAGAGCGCGACGACGCACAACGCCCGTCGCGCCCGCCGCCGCTTCCCCTCCGCCCGCCGACTTCGAAACCACGCGTTCACCGCCTCTTCCCTCGCCCCGATCTGCCGCGCCAACCGTCGCCGCGTCGCCGCGTCTGGGCGTCGCTCGAGCTCGTACACCCCTCGCAGGACCTCGAGCCCGCGCTCGTCCACGCCCGCGCTCTGGAGACGCCGCGCGCGCGTCATGTAATCTTCCGTCGCGTCCGTCGACGGCGCGTCGCGACGTCGACGCGTCGGTCCGTCGTCGGCGCGCGCGATGGAGTCCATCACTGGAGGCGGTGGCGGGGCGCACGGGCGACGCGCGCGGGGATGTGCGTGCGATTCATGATGCACGCGAGTGATGATTTCAATGACGATGATTTCGCGACACCGCGCACACCGCGACGCCGCGACGGGGACGCTCGGACGCGCGCGCGATGGTGAACGACCGACGGCGGACGACGGCGCGCGTAAAGGACGCTCGACGCGGCCGAGCGCGACGGACTCGGACGATCTCGATCGCGCGAATGGATCGATGGATGCCGCGGTTGGCGATCGTCCTGTGCGCGCTCGACGCCCTCGGACGGGCGCGCGCGGCGTCGATGGATCCGTGTGATCAGGCGAACGAGCGCGGGGTGGTGTCGGGCGAACGCGTGGTCGTGGGCGTGGGGTATTGGGCGGGCGGGGACGTCGCGCGGTGGGGCGACGCGCACCCGTGCGGCGATCGCGCGACGTTAGGGGCGATCGGTGTCAACGGCGTCGGTGTCGTCGGTACGACGACGTTCGTGGTGAATAGTGGAGAGATGACCGCGCTCAGAGGGACGCGGGCGGATGAGGATGGGCTGTACGCGGCGAACGCGAGCGCGACGGCGATGACGGTCGTGGCGTACACGGCGACGAAACGGTCGACGCCGCGCGTGGTGCGATTAGAGACGAGTGATCCCGCGAGCGAAGGTAAGAGTGGGATCGTGAGCGCGCTCACTTTGCTCGTGACGTTCGATGAAGGCGCGGTGAAGTATCTGCGATGGCACGACGCCGGGTGCGGGAACTGCGGCGGAACTGCGGACGCGCGGTGCCTACCGGTGGGCGAGGGCCATCACGCGTGCGCCGCGTCCAAGGCTGGGTGCGATGGCACGTGTTCGGGATCGGCGTGCGACGTGGCGTTGAACACCACGGATGCGCTTCGATGTCAGCTCACCGTGACGATGGCGACGAGCGGGACGGACGCGAATAAGGAGGTTTTCGTCGCGGGCGGGCAGCTCGAGCGTTTGTCAAAGTACGCGAGCTCGGGGGCGTACGCGAGCGCCGCGGCGAGCGCCTCCGCCGCGGTGACCGGTGTGACGGGTTTCATCGGTCGTTAACCGCGTGCGCTTTGATCTGTTTTACAATACGAGAAGGACGTCTTTCGATACCCGCCCGCCGTCGTCACTCGTCGTCCAAGACGGCGTCTCCGAGCATCTCCACGAGACGCTCCAATCGATCCTCCTTCTTAAGCGCGAGGTGTTCGTCGTAAAGCGCCGAGATTCGCGCGTGTAACTCTTCCGAAGCGAGCGGCGAGGGCGCGTCTTCGTCTCCGAGCAAGCCGTGCGCCGCCGCGAGCGCCTCGACGTCCGCCGCCGCGTCTCGTCCGGGCGTCCCCACCATTCGCCGTCCCAGATCGCTCTCGCGACCTAACTCCTTAAGTTCCATCGACGCCCACGCCGTGGCCTCGAGCGTGTCGATCACTCGCCGCACCCCGCGTCCGTCGCCGTCGTCGCCGCGCCGGAGCGCCGCATCCGCCTCCGCGTCGTCCAACCGCGTCTCCACCACCTCGTACCCCCGATCGAGCGCCCACGCCGCGACGGACGCGGGCACGCGCGCGCGGCGTCCCGCGCCATCGCGCGCGAGATCCCACGCCACGACGCGCGCGTCCGCGTCGTCGTCTCCCGTTCGCGCCGCCGCGCGTCGCGCGTCGTCAAACTCTTCCTCGTTCCCACACGCGAGGACGACCGCGCGCGCGCATCCGAGCGCGCGCGCGTCGTCGTCACCACTCGAAGCATCGATCGCGTGCACGCGCGCGCGGTAATACCGCGTATCGAGCGTCCAGAGCGCGGAATCATCATCATCGTCGTCGTCATCATCATCGCGCGCAATTCGTCCATCGAATCCCCCTCCGTGCGCGCGCACGGCGTCGATGAGCGCCCGCGCGCGAGCGCCGAAGACGCGCGCGATGTTCGCGTCTACATCCGAGGACGCGCGCGACATGAAGACGCGCGTCGCGGCGTGGGGCGGCGTTGATGTGGATGTGTCGAAAACCATCTCCACACCCATCATCGCGGCATTCGTCGACGCATGCGCGTCGTCGCGCGCGACCGCGGGCTCGGACGACGCACGTGCCGGTGGTCCGTCGTCGAGCGACGGAAGGACTCGCGCGCGTGGACGAGCGCGCGCGCGAGGCGAGGTGGAGACGGACGAATGACGTCGACGACGACGTGCGCGTACCCAACCTTTGACGACGCGCTGCGAGCGACGACGTCGAGCGCGCAGACGTGGACGAGAGATTTAGACGTCGATCCGGATTGGGAGCGGAACGCGCCGAACAGACGGTCGAGAGAGGTTCGGAGTGGGCATTACGTGCCGGTGACGCCGGAGCGGCTGGAGGCGCCGCGAGGACGTCTGGCGAGCGCGTCGTGCGCGAGAGAGATTGGATTCGCGCTCAGTGGGGAAGATTTGAATAACCCGCGATCGACGTTCGTGCGGTACTTCTCGGGAGACGTCGAGGGGATCGATGGAGGGATCGGAGGGATGAAGACGTGGGCGACGCCGTACGCGCTGAGCATCATGGGAAGTCGGATGACGAGCAACTGTCCGTTCGGAAATGGGAACGGATACGGCGATGGACGGGCGATCTCGGTGGGTGAGATGATTAATCCCGTCACCGGGGCTCGACACGAGCTTCAGCTCAAGGGTGGGGGTCGAACGCCGTTCTGTCGAGGCGCCGACGGCAGGGCGGTTTTGCGGAGCTCGATTCGAGAGTTTTTGGCGAGCGAAGCCATGCACGCGCTGGGCGTCGACACCACCCGGGCGCTGTGCCTGATCGAGAGCGAGCGCGGATCGACTGCGCGAAGGCCGTGGTACAGCTCGAGGAGCGACGAGGAGTACGCCAAGCGCGTGCCGAGCGAGGACGATCCGAGACTGCGCTCGTACAGTCCCGAGCAGCGCAAGGACATCATCGACCAGCTCAAGCGGGAAAAGCGGGATCCGGACATCATGATCGAAGAGCCGTGCGCGATCACCACGCGCGTAGCGCCGAGTTTCATGCGCATAGGTCACATAGATCTGTTCTCGCGGCGCGCGACGGCGTCGGGAGCGACGGCGCTTCAGAAGGAACAGCTGGAGAAGATTGTTCGACACGCCGCGTTTAGAGAGTTTCCGGAGACGATCGAGCAGCACGGCGACGACACGGCCGCGATGACGCGAGCGATGCTGGAGAAGTCCGGGGCGAAGATTGCGAAAATGGTCGCCGGCTGGCTTCGCGTCGGATTCGCTCAAGGGAACTTCAACGCGGACAACTGCTTGGTCGGCGGGCGAACGATGGATTACGGTCCGTTCGGATTCATGGATAGATACGATCCTGGGTTCGCAAAGTGGACGGGAAGCGGCGAGCACTTCGCCTTCATGGCTCAGCCGGACGCCGGAATCACGAATTTTGCCGTGCTCGCCGTGTCGTGCGCGCCCTTGCTCAAGGGCGGGTCGAAAGAGGCGCAGGACATCGTGAGAGACGCGCAACCCGTCTTCGCGCGCGCGGTCGACGACACTTTCCGTACCAAGCTTGGATTCGCCTCGGAGTCGTCGATGGATGTCGCGAGGGAATTATTTCGCGCTGAAGACGGACTGGAGCGGCTCATGTACGAAGATCGGGCGGACTGGACGATGACGTGGAGACAACTCGCGGAGTGCGCCGAGGTCTCGGACGCGAACGATGACGCCGCGCTCCTCGCGCCGCTGCTGTCGAGATGCTTTTACGGTGGTGGAATCATGTGTGACGGACGTAAGACGAAGTGGTTATCTTTCATTCGACGATGGAGAACCGCGCTCGAGGCGTCCGGGACGTCTCTCGCCGACGCCGCCAAGGCGATGCGCGCGGCCAATCCAAAGTACGTCCTGCGCGAGCACTTGCTCGTCGAGGCGTACACCAAGGCATCTTCGGGTGATTTTTCAATGGTAAATGAGCTCTTCGCGTTGACGCAGCATCCGTACGGCGGCGACGGGGATACCGCTGAGTTTGACGCGAAGTACTACGTCAAGGCTCCGGAGGAGGCGCTAACCTCGGGCGGAACCGCGTTCATGTCTTGATCTTCGTAAGCGAGTCCGCTGTTCTCACGAACGGACTCGCACGATGCGGTTGATGTAGCGAGGCGAAAGTTCGAGCCATCGTGCGCGCGAGCGCGCGCGGTGGTGGACGTGACGCGACGGTTTGAAACGCGCCGAGGCGCGCTAATCGTCGTCGATTTACGAATGCATTCGTCAAAACTTACCGCTAGTTTAATGAGATTGAAACGAAACTCCACGCTACAGCGCCCCGAGCTCCGTGGACGCTCTCGGAGAATCGCGAGTGCCGACGCGGGCGTACTCGACCGCGTGACGTGGTCCGAATGCGCCGTCTCGCCACCACACGTACGCCGTGACGACGCACACCAAACCTGAAAGAAGAGAGAAGCACGCCCACCACAGCGCGCCGCCGACCGAAGTGCCGTGGCGACGCAGCGCCTCCTTGCGATGTTCCACTTCGTCTTGATCCACCGGTTCGCTCGGCGGAGGTGCGGGCGTGGACGAGCCATCCGACGGGACGTCTTCTCCCACGGGCGTCTTGAGCGCGCGTTCGCAAAACGGCACCGTCGCGTTGTCGTCAATCTCTCTTCTCGCGAGCTCTTCGTCCACCGCCGACGCGCACGCGCGCTTGATTCGAACGTTTGAAATCAAATCGCACTCCTCCCGACTCCTCGAACCGTCGTACTCGTGCCTCACGGCGAGCGCGGCGCCGAGCGCGCGAGCGCACGCGTCTCTCGCCCGCGCCGCCTCGTTCGATCCCGTTCCCATCCCGAGCAAATTTTCGCTCTCGCACCCCTCTCCGATCGTCACCGACGATTCATTACCTAACATTTTCTCGACGTACGCCTCGACGACGCCGAATCGACACGAACGAACGCCCGAGACGTCTCGCGCGTCGCCGCACGCGTCCCACGCGCCGCGCGTCTCATTCGCCTCCAACCTAAACGTCACCGCCCATCCCACCCCTCTCGCGCACGACGCGTACATCGCGTCCGATCCGAAATTCGCCCCATCACACGCCTCCCTCAGCCCCACGCCCACGGACCCCGACGTCGTCTCCGTCTTCGCCCGCGCGAAGTGCTCGGCGAAGTATCCGCGCGCGCAGCTCCCGTCGCACGCGACGTCCCCCGCCTCCCCGCACGCCAGCGGGTTTACCCCCCCACTCCCTCGCACCACCCTTCCGATCGTTCGTCCGACGTTTTCACACGTCACGAGCGTTTTCCCACCACCAGACATGTCGCCTCCGTCGTCCGGCGTCTCGCCGCCGCCGCGCGCGAGCTCTCTCGCCGCGCACGTCGCCGCCCCCGCGTCTCTCGACGCCGACGTCACCGACGCCACCAGAGCATCGCTCGCGCACGTCTCTCTCGCTCGCGCGTTCGCGCACGCGCGCGCGATCGCGTGCGCGGCGTCGCGCCACGTCGATGATGATGGCGATGATTTTCCCACGCCGAATCGCCCTCGCGTCGCCCCGTCGCGCGTCGACGCGTCGACGACGCGGGCGAGGACGACGACGAGGACGACGCCGAGGACGGGCGCGCGCGATCGCGCGTCGCGGCGCGTCATGGGCGTCGATGAGTGACGATCGATGCATCATCATGTGTACGACATCGTGGACGACGCCGTGGTGAGACGTCGACGCGTCGCGCGGGCGATGCGTCGGCGGCGCGTGGCGTTGGATGCTCCCGCGCGCGCGCGCACGGAAACGGGGGCTCGAGCGGCGACGGAGGGGGCGGCACGCGACGATGATGTGCGTGAAATCCATGAAGTGTGTGAATTGAATGCAATCGCGACGCCGACGCCGACGCCGACGACGGAGACGACGACGGAGACGACGACGGAGACGACGATGGAGACGACGACGGCGACGGACGACGCGGCGG